TGGGGCAAACAGAGAGGAAGTGGTCCCTAACCGGGCGAAGGGTGTCAGGGAGCCGGTTGACGATGTAGTAGAGGGTGATGTACATGGGGGGGGGGGTTCTTGGCGCAGAACTCAGCAGGAAGCGCAGCGCGGTAGCGAGTGTCACTAGTGCGAAGGTGCGTAATGAGGTCAGCGACAGTGGGAAAAGCGGCGAGGTCAGGGAAGAGGTACGGTAGGATGAGGCGGCTAAGCGCAGCAGTGGCAGGGGAAGAGTAGCGTGCAACTACAGCGTCGTACAAGGTCTTAGCACTCTTGTACTGGCTAAAGTGTGCACGCTCAGCGGTCGGCAAGTGGCGGCGCACAGCAAGGCGGGCAGCAGCATCGCGTGTGGCCCACTGGGAGCGAACAGTGGGGTCAGCATCAGCAGCAGGGGCAGGAGAGGCACCAGAGGTGAGGTCAAAAAGGGAGAGGCCGTCTGCTCTGTCGCTCAGTAGGAAAAGCTGCAGGTCATCTACCCAGACGTCAAAGTCAATGGCCCGACCCTCAGCGTCAAAGGTGAGGACACTGGGGGAAGCCATGACAGCAGTAGACTAGCAGTGAGAGCAGCAGGCTAGGGCAGAGCAGTGGTGGAGGCGCTGCTCTTACCGGGCAGGCGAGAAGGACCGAGGCGCGCCGGCAGGAACAGCGGCACGGCGGCTCAGCGGCTCGGCAGCTCGGCGGTAGTGGCGTCTCGGCGGCTCGGCAGCACGGCGGCAGTGGCGGCTCGACGGCTCGGCAACTCGACGGCAACGGCGGCTCGGCGGCTTGGCGGCTCAGCGGCTCGGCGGCTCGGCGGATCGGCGGGGCCGCGAAGGGATGGCGAAGGGGCCGCAAAGGGCGGCGGTGGGGTCGCACGGGTGGGGCGACGGGGTCGCGGGCGGCCGCGACTACAGGAGTCGCGCGCGGCTGCGGCGACGGGAGGGCAGGCGGCCGCGGCGACGAGGTCGCAGGCGGCTGCGACTGCAGGGTCGCGGGCGGCGGCGACGGTAGGGTCGCGGGCGGCTGCGACAGCAGGGTCGCGGGCGGCGGCGACGGCAGGGTCGCGGGCGGCTGCGGCGACAGTGTAGCGGGCGGCTGCGACGCCAGGGTCGCGGGCAGCTGCAGCGGTAGGGTCGCGGGCGGCCGCGGCGACGAGGTCGCGGGCGGCGCGAAGGGCGACGGGGTCGCGACGGGCGGCGTCGGGGTCGCGGGCGGCTGTAACGACGCCGCGCAGGGCGACGCGAGTGTGGGGCCGCGGGGTCGCGACGGTGGGGCGTCGGGGCCAGCAGAGGCGGCGCCGGGGCCGGAAGCGCGGCGCGACGGGGCCGCTAAGGGAAGCGAGGGGAGGGGAGCGCGACTCGGGCAGGGGCGGAGCGCGCTCCGGGCAGGAAAAAAAAAATCTTACGGTGGGCCCTAGGAACAGTTCCCACGAGGGAACCTGCTCTGATACCATGTGACAATTGGAACGAGAATGAATGCATTGAGCAGCATGAGGAGTACAAGTACCAAACCCTGTAATGTTGTACCCCATATGAGCTACCCCACTACAGCCTACACAGACTATAGTGTATAATTTTGACAGAATGTTCATGGTCGTGAGGAGCTGCGTAACGCGCTGCAGTTCGTTTCGCAGCTGCTCGTTCTCCAATTGCGATTGTTCGGTCGTCGCTCGCATCTCCGCTTCCATCTTGGCGATTTGCGCGAAGAGCTGCTGCGTAACGTCGTTGGTCGCCGACGAACCCATCCTGTTCAGAAACCACGCGAGGGGGTTAATTCGAAATTTGCTGAACTGGTGCTTACCAGAAATCGGCGTCGAATTGGTCGCCCCCGGCGGTTTTTCGAGGCGATTTTTTCCGCGACCGCTGCTTAGCCGAGAGTTGTCGAGTGAGAACGGCTCTGATTACCAAGTGTCACAGGATCGAATTCTCATTCGAAAACGTGTCACTAAAATTGAATACAAGGCGTTTTTATACTCGGAAATTACAAGGATAATGAGATAAGACGAACATTCGGGAACACACCCTTTCCCGATGCCACAATCACAAGTGCGCACAAGCACACAAGGCTATTGGCACTTGGGATTACGCCCAGATTACACCGTATACACCACTGTCGGCGCTGGCGGTGCCGTATAGTAAATGTGTCGGTGGGAAAAATAGGAAATAAGTGAAATAAAGAGAAGGCTCTAGAAAATAGAATAGTAGGCCGATTGAGATGAAATAAAGACCAGAATAAAGAGGAGAAAAATTAGAATAAGATAAAGAGAAAATATAATAATGAGAAATATAATAACGGGAACGTCCTCTCACAGCCGCGATGTTCCCCGACATTGTTGTCGAACGTGTTTAACCAAACGTCGAAAACTCCTCCAAAACGGTCGGCACTCCTTGCCGAAAGCCAGCAAGTCTCACGGAAAACTCCGTAAATGGCGGTCAAGAACACGACCCCGGAAATCCTTGGTTGCACGTACATTCTCCTCCGAAAATCTCAGACGTACTATAGCCGCCCACTCAGTCACCATCAGTTTCTGTCAGTTTACCCGACCCCAGCATGTGAGTTAAATCGAGAACCAGGGACTGCCCTAGGTTATTCCAAGACTGAATTTCACGGAACCTAGTGGCATCAACGCCGTTGACCCCGTCGTCGAAACTGCTCCCGCCGATGACGTTTAACAAAATACCACGCGACTACCACTAGTGCTTTGCAGATGTTTCACCCATCACTTGTCGCCGGCAAGTAAGTCCCGAAGCTTCGGCTGCTCCCACGCTCCCTTTTTTTGAAGAAATTTCCGAGGTGTGTGTTTAAACACCAGGGGTCCTAGGTATCCCTGCTGCTGTGTTTCTTGCCAGGCAGCTTAAAAAGAGCCCTTCATGCGAAGTCCTCCAACAGCTCAACCGCACTCCAAGAAGTGAAGAAATACCCTCAGCTTCAAAATTTTTTTTTTAACCCCCCAAGAATTCCGCTTCCCGCCGTTCACCCAGCGTTCGCTTTTGTCGGTGTTGTCCGCGCGAACCTGGCTACAGTGGAGGGGCAAAAACTATCAGAGTCGGGGTAGCCTTAATTAAAAGGAGCTGTCGCCCGACCATTTTGCAGCCCACCGCGCCCATCACGTCACTAAACTACACAGCTTCCGGGTCCCAGCTTCGCCGCTACGTCGTCAATTCGTGTAGACGCCCGGGTCAGGAGAAACTAGTAATCTGCACCATTGTTGTCCTCGCAGCTCCCCGACTTTTTCGCGTGCCGTTCACCCAGCCCGCTTTTGTCGGAGTATAACAGTGTCGCGGACTCCCTTTTATTTTGGTATTTTGGTGCAACTATCGAAACGAGCACCAATCCAGGTGCCTTTAACCAGCACACGGTAGGCATGTGTTCACCCCCATTATTCATCCCATTATTCACCCCCACGACGTTCTTCAACCCCCGCTTAGCCGTCGGGCAGTTTCTTCTCGTATGTCCCGGCGGCCTGTACCACACTCCTCCGAAATTGACGGGTGGTACGTTGAACACCGTTTAATCGTGGGCTGTTGCAGTTGTCCCCGAAAACGACTTCCCGAGACAGGGAAACCAATCTCGAAACTGTTAAACAGCTGGCAAAAGCTCCAGGCACGTAGCGTCAAACGAGTGTTTTTCGGGTGTCCGGGCCCGAATTGCCCTCGCCGCCTGCGTCCCACTCCGCTGAGTGCGATTTAGCCACTCCGTTGTTTGTTGCAGCCCGTAAGTGTCGGCGGGTCCAAAGTTCCCGTCTGTCCACGTGCACTCCTGCCGAAATTGTTAATGACGCGCCCACCAATGGAGTAAAAGCTGTTGCACTTAACAGGTCGGGCGGGACGGCAGTTGACTCCCGCATAAATCGGGCAGTCCTCGTGGCGTCTCTCCTCGTCACCAGCTTTTTCAGACATAGTTACTTTAGTGCCTGGCGAGTCCCTCCAGCTGCCCCTTGTTGTTTCTTCTCCACAACCTACCAAAAATCTGGCGCAAGCTGACACATGTCCGTTGTCGCCAGCTACAACACTCCGAAAATGTCGCGCGCGCGTTGACGATGACCCACATCAACTGCGCGCAGGACGACGATTCCGAAACCTTCGTGCAGATGCCGATGTAGGTCCGCTGACGCCAGCTGCCACACGTTTTCAACGCTGCGACAGCAACAGCTGTCCATTGCCCAAGGGGAGGGAGGTCATGGTCAATCGCGACCATTCAAGTCAAGGATCAGGCGGTGCCAAGGAGTGTCCCGTAAGAACATGGCCGCGAGGAGCAACTAACTCGTTCTCCTGGCCGGCTAGCACGCAACTCCTAGACCCCAGGACATCCTTCCTCGTTCCCCACCCCCGAGGGGTAATACACTCTAAAAAGCGGGGTAGGCTAGGAAAGTAGCCGTGATACAAGGTGTTATGAATGAACTTGCAGAGTGCGTAGAATAACGAATATCGATAATGTAAATTACAGAATGACGATACAATGGAAGTGTCGAGACTAAATAGGGGAAACGATAGCTGGGCGGGGAGGTCGGTCTAGGATGGCTCGGAAAGTGTTGCGATTGGAGCGGTGGCGACTCGGAAGTGGTTCGGGGCAAAATTGTAGGCCGAACCGGGCTGACGCGTGACCTTCGGGTTGTACTTGCGAAAATGCGAGTACAATAAGGAATTACAGTTCCTTACACTCGCGAGTTGTGTTTCAAACCAGAGGGTAACCCTGTTCTTGGCGACTTCAAGTTCGAGAATCTTGAACTTGAAAAATACCATGCTGTACTCGGGCTTTAAAAAGGCCAGGTTTGCCCATACAGCATGTCTGAAATCTCAGACTAATCAGACATCTAGTCCGATCAAACCAGGTTGGTCTCCACCAACTTGAAAACTCAAATGAGCGTCCATCCATAGCACGAGCATCTACAAAATCGTTCATTCATTTATCGAAACACTGCTCCATGCCGCGCTTGGCAGTCACAGTGCAACGGCACTGCGTATGATTTGTCCGTTGAAGGCCCCTGGTCTCAGCGCTGAAGCTCACTTCACCTTGTCGCCACCAGAGCCGGCGACGACGACCCTGACGGGGGGAACGGGCACGAGCTGCCACCAGCGCCGCAGCTTGTGGCCCAGGGAGGAGGTCTGCGGGCCGCCCTTCTGCTTCTGGAAGTTGAAGTAGGCGGAGAAGAGGTGCAGCACTGCTACCGTGCCAATCACCCGCGCCGGCACCAGCAGCGGCACCACCACAGCCGCTGCTGCCCCTGCCAGCAGCAGCAGCAGCACCTTGTCCGATAGCTGTTGGGGGAAGGGGTGATGCACAGGGGGAGGGGTGACGCACAGGGGGAGGGGTGATGCACAGGTGAAGGGGTGATGCACAGGTGAAGGGGTGATGCACAGGTGAAGGGGTGATGAGTGCAAACCATCGGTCCAAAGTCCAACCACGAACAGTTGAGTGGAGAAGGGGAAAGGCAGCAGGTGCATGTGAGACTAATATCAGTATTCAGCCTAATACTCTTCCTTAGACACTTCTCCCCTGCACCCACTGGCCCCAGTGCTGCACGCACCTGTGGCTCGGCGGACTGGAAGATGCTGCGAACTTTGAGCAGCGCGACGTTGATGCGCTGGAAGACAGTGAGCGCCGCCGCGATGCCGTCCTTCACCATCAGCACCTGCGCCATCGTCGTGGGCGTCGGCTCCATCTCCACCACCAGCAGCCGCATCGCCCCGCCCCCCCTGCCCCACCGCCCCCCCGCTGCTGCTGACGCTGGTGGCGCCGGCGAGGAGGCCAGGGCGGGGCTGCCGGGGGCTACCTGTGAGGCTGTGGACTTGGGGGAGCCAGGGCCGTGAGGGAGAGAGGAGGGTTGTGACGGCGGCGAGGAGGGGTTGGTGAGGCGATAGAAGATGATGATGGCGGCGAGGAGCAGCAGCAGCAGCGCCGGCAGCAGCCAGAAGTATCCCCTGGAATGGAGGGAACCATTGGAATGGAGGGAACCATTGGAATGGAGGGAACCATTGGAATGGAGGGAACCATTGGAATGGAGGGAACCATTGGAATGGAGGGAACCATTGGAATGGAGGGAACCATTGGAATGGGGAAGAAGACGGACAGGAGAGGCAGAAGCAGGGCCAGGAGAACAGAGAGTTGGGGCAAGGGGCTTTGCCTAAATGTGTGCACCAGGACGCCTAGATGCCAATGGAAACAGAAGAGGGGAGTTGCATGTTTATGGAAGTGATTGAGAAAGGAGAGCGGAAAACAGAAGGGCGAGGGGGGCAGACGGAGAGCGAAGAAGGGCAGAGTGAGGCGGGGAGGGGCTTGCCCGTTGACGAGGAAGAGCATGAGCATGGCGGCGAGGATGGTGGCGAGCGGCTCCTTCCACTGAATGATGTCCACCGCCGCCCGCACCCCGCTGTACACCGGCCGCAGCAGATGCTGTTGTGGTGGGGGGGAGGGGGAGGGAGGGCAGGGTGGCGGGAAGTTGAATGAGGGAAAAAAGGGTGATGTGAGTGCGGGGTTAGGATCGTGTGGCATGCGACGATTGGGAGACAGTGTCAGGGACGGATGAGGCATGACGCATCCACCCATGCACAGAGACAAGCGTTAGGGAGATAGAGGTGGACACAAGACACGCAGCAAGGCTCGAGGAGGAGACGGGCTGTGGGAGAGCGAGGCACGAGGAGGAGAGGGGGGCAAGAGGAGAGGGTGGGGGCAGCAGGGGGGCACGAGGAGGAAAGGGGTGGGGGGCACGAGGAGGAAAGGGGTGGGGGCACCAGGAGGAGAGTGACGTTGCTGGGGATGTCGTCAATGAGCGACCCCTCCACTGTTGCCTGCGCCCTGTCTGCTAGCTCCTCCCTCTCCCTGTTGACTCATGCACACATGCTCACACATGCATACACCCAACACACGCATGTACACACACACACACACACACACACACATGTACACACACACACACGCACTCATTTACACACACACACGCATGCACACACACACACACGCGCGCGCATGTACATACACACACACACACATACATGCACGCACTCATGTACACACACGAGCACACACACACACACACACACACACGCATGTACAAACACACACGCATGTACAAAAACACACTCATGTACATACACGCACACACACAGAGATGCCAGTACACACACACACACACACACACACACACACACGCACACGCACACACACACACACACGCACACACACATACACGCATGTACACACACACACGCATGTACACACACACACGCATGTACACACACACACGCATATACACACACACACACACACTCATGTATACACACACGCGCGCACACACACACACACACACACGCATGTACAAACACACACGCATGTACGTACACACACACACAGATGCCAGTACACACACACAGGACACGCATGTACACACACACACACACGCACACACACACACACATACGCATGTACACGCACACACACACACGCATGCACTCATGTACGCACACGCGCGCACACACACACACACGCATGTACAAACGCACACACACACACACACACGCACACACACACACGCACACACACACACACGCACGCACACACACACACACACACACACACACACACACGCATATGAATGTACATACACATATACGCGCACACACACACACGCACACACACACACACACACACACTCACACATGTACATACACACACACACGCACGCGCGCGCACACACACACACACACACACGCACGCATGTAAACACACGCACTCACACCACACACACACACGCATGTACATACACATACACACACAGCGACAAACAGGGAGGCAGAGGGAGGCCATGGGAGTCAGAGGGCGGCCATGGGAGGCAGAGGGCGGCCATGGGAGGCAGAGGGCGGCCATGGGAGGCAGAGGGCGGTGGTGATAAAAATTTAGGAAGTGCTTTCTGCAGAAGTGTGAAAGCAAAGAGAGGACATGGCAATCGATCAGCAATCTCACCTCTCTCCCGTAGTCTCAATCTACCCCCCTTGCCCCTCGCCTTGCCACTCACCTTGCCCCTCACCTTGCCACTCACCTTGCCCCTCACCTTGCCCCTCACCTTGCCACTCACCTTGCCCCTCACCTTGCCCCTCACCTTGCCCCTCACCTTGCCCCTCACCTCGCCACTCACCTCGCCACGCGCACAGCCTTCTCCAGCTTCATCTGAATGCGATCACCAAACCCCCTCTTCTCCTCCTCCTCCTCCTCCTCCTCCACCTCGTCCTCCTCCTCCTCCCCACCCCCCACCGATCCCTCACTCGCCATCGACCCGCCCGCCTCCCTCCCTTTCCAGAACGACACTGACGACTGAAGCTTCCAGGAAGCCGACCGCCCCAGAGGTCTGAGCCCCCCAGCAGTGCCGGCCCACGCCTCTCCCCTGCCACTCCGATCCCCCTCATCCTCCTCCCCACCCTTCCCCAACCCGCTCCCCTGCCCCCCTTTACTCATCAAGAACAGCTCTCTAGGAGACATCACCGTTCCCCCCCTCCCCCCGCCATCCCCCTCCTTTCCCCGCCCCCCCTTGAGCAGCAGCGCGAGGCGCTTGGCGGACCACTTGGCGGTGCGCAGGGCGGGCAGGCGCTGCGGGCCCCACAGCAGCAGCGCGAGCGCCTGCTCCACCAGATGACCCTCGGGCACGGTGCGCGCCCACGAGAAGGGCAGCACGCGGCACGGGTGCGCTGGCGTGCTGCCGATGACCGTTTGCAGAGCCTGAGAGGGTGAGGGGGCAGCAAGTGGTGGCTGTGAGACACACAGGGACCGTGGAGTGGATCGCCCTCACGCATGTGTGGGGTTGAGGCGGAACAGTATTGGTTGGCTTGAAGAGTGGGGTGTTGCATGTGTCAATGTGCACCACTCATGACGGCTCTTGGCCCTACTGGCTTACAGCACTCAGAACCAACGCATCTTCAACTGCAAGGCGAGGCTGTTCCACGGTCCACCCCACTTGGTGTGCTGCCAATGCGATGCACCCACGTGCGCATCACCTGACATGAGGCACAACACATGAACCGCACAGCCCTGCTGTGCCTTCTCTGCCCTTCCCTCCCACCCCTGTGATCATCAGCTGAGCAGCTCACCGCACCTGCAGCTGAGCGCACCTGCAGCTGAGCGCACCTGCAGCTGAGCGCACCTGCAGCTGAGCGCACCTGCAGCTGAGCGCACCTGCAGCTGAGCGCACCTGCAGCTGCAGCACGGCGTTGACCATCATCCACACGGCCTGCTGGCTGCCCTCCTCCACCAGCAACACCTCCAGTGATGGCTTCTCCGCCTCCTCCTTCCCCTCCTCACTCCCCTCCCCCTCTTCCCCCTCCTCATCCTCCACCTCCCCCTCATCATCATCGCTGACGTCATCACTCAGCTCATCGTCATCATACTCCTCCTCCCCCTCCTGCGTGCCAGCTGGCAGCACCTCAGTGGGCGCAGGGCGGTAGTCAGCAAGGAAGGCGTGCAGCGCGAGCACCTCCCCCAGCAGCGCCTGCCAGAGGTCGCGCTGGCGCTGCAGCTTGTACTCGATGAACTCCACCGTCCATGCCGCCTGCCTGCAGCAGATGGGCACGGGATGGACATGGGATGGACATGGGATGGACATGGGATGGGCATGGGATGGACATGGGATGGACATGGGATGGACATGGGATGGACATGGGATGGACATGGGATGGACATGGGATGGACATGGGATGGACATGGGATGGACATGGGATGGACATGGGATGGACATGGGATGGACATGGGAAGGACATGGGATGGACATGGGATGGACATGGGATGGGCATGGGATGGACATGGGATGGACATGGGATGGACATGGGATGGACATGGGATGGACATGGGATGGACATGGGATGGACATGGGATGGACATGGGATGGACATGGGATGGACATGGGATGGACATGGGATGGACATGGGATGGACATGGGATGGACATGGGATGGACATGGGATGGACATGGGATGGACATGGGATTGGCACGCGCTGGCGCTCCAGATTGTACTCTATGAACTCCACCGTCCACGTCACCTGCCTGCCGCCCTCACAGCACCCCACGTGCACATGGGTTGAACATAAGATGGGAGGGAGATGATGAGACAAACGAAGCAGCAGAGAGGACATGATGAGGAGAAGTATGGGGCATGGAATTTGTATCGGATGGGTATGGGAAGGACACGCACTGACACGGGATGGGCATGGCATGGGCATTGGAGGGCCATGGATGAGCATGGGATGGGCGGCAGAGGGAGTGAGATGGGAAGATGTGGAGGTGGGCAGAAAGAGCGGGCGAGCAGGGCGCACAGGCGGGAGGAGAGGGCGAGGGAGCGCGTCATGGAGAAGACGTTGAGGGCGAGAGCGTCCGGCGCCACCGCTGCCACCGCCGCCTCCGCCCCCACCGCTGCCAGGTCAAAGCGCTCCACCCTGCCCGCCACCGTGCGCAGAAAGCCCGTGGCGTCTGCCTGCACGCGCGCATGGGGAAGGTGAGTTGGGTGTGGTGGGGAAGGGGAGAAGAGGGGAAGGTGGGGACCATGGGAGCAAGGCAGGTGCAGCAGCCTCCGGAGGACTGCGCACCTGGAAGTAGAGGGCGCACCTGGAAGCAGAGGGCGCACCTGGAAGCAGAGGGCGCACCTGGAAGTAGAGGGCGAGCGGGGTGAGGTAGAGGCGGCCATGGCCCACGAGTGTCTTGGGCGCCCCCGGTGCATCGATGTAGAGCGTGGCGTCACTCTCCGCCACCACCACCTCCCTCTCCTGCAACCCCAATGTTGCTGCCACCACCCCCGTGCGCTTGCCCATCGCCGCATGCTCGCTGCACACCACACACACACACATATGGGGACACAGGGACGTGCATGGCATGGCACAGTGCGGCATGTGTCGCATCACGTGGGCTTGGAATGCCATGAAGCGTGGCATGCGGCGTGGAAAACACAGTATGACGGGGACTCCCAACATACCACACCGGACTCACACCCCACTCACTGCGCCACACCCCACTCACTGCGCCACACCCCACTCACTGCGCCCCACTCACTGCGCCCCACTCACTGCGCCCCACTCACTGCGCCCCACTCACTGCGCCCCACTCACTGCGCCCCACTCACTGCGCCCCACTCACTGCGCCCCACTCACTGCGCCCCACTCACTGCGCCCCACTCACTGCGCCCCACTCACTGCGCCACGGCCGCCACGAACTGGTGCATGCGGTCAGCAGAGAGGCCCGAGGGGGGAGGCTGGGCGGAGGGCGAGTTGGCAGCGCGGGTGAAGGCGAGGTGGTGGTGCAGGCAGGCCGCCGTGGCAGGCGTGGCCAGCTCGCCCAGCAGTGGCGCCACCCGCGTGAACCCCAGCGCCATCGCCTCCGCCTGCGCCGCCCTCTCCTTGTCCGCGCTGCTCTCCTCCTCGCCACCACCCGCCTGCACGTGCTGCTGGGATGGGCGGAGAGTGGGAGGAAGCAGGAACGGCCGTCACCAAGAGGAGTGGGTGCGCAGCAGTGCTCTGCAAAACTGTTTCGGCGATAATTATGAGGCCCATGCGCACTGGCACTGACCGCATGCCTCACACGTCCTCCCCACCACTGCTGCCGCCACACATCACTGCCGCCACACATCACTGCCCGCCAGCGCTACCTGCTCGAGCCCCATGGACGGCGGCCTGGGCGGCGCTCCCCTGCCCCCCGCCGCGCCCTTGCTGGACGCCTGCCGCCGCGTGCGCTGCTGCTGCTGCTGGGCCTCGAGGTGCATGCGGTGCAGAGTGGCGAAGGTGGTTATGCTGCGGTACAGAAGTTGGTCCAGTGGTACGGTCTGGTGAGCACAGAGGGGAGGGGAGGAGAGACGGGGGGCGAGGAGGGGAGGGAAGGAGGTGAGGGAAGGAGTGACATGGGGGAGGGCTTCGGTGTGTGACGAACGCGAGAGAGGAGCAAAGAGAGAGAGGGAGGGGGGTGCTGGGCGAGAGAAGATGGCGCAGAGGAGAGAGAGGGGAGGAAGAAGGGACCTTGGAGGCGGCGAGCGCGGTGCGCAGGGTGCAGGCGCGGAGGGCGCGGTGGAGCGCGAAAAGCAGCAGATTGCTGGCGTAGAGCGCGCTGTCCGCCTCCCCCGCCACCTGCGGATGCCGCCGCTCGAACGCGCGCTTCAGCGACGCCGGCTTCCTGTTGAGCATGCTGTTGGCACGGGGTGACACGAGGGTGACACGAGGGTGACACGAGGGTGACACGAGGGTGACACGAGGGTGACACGTGGGTGACTCGTTGGTGAGGCGTTAGTGGCATGTGAGTGACAAACAAACTCGTACGCGCACGCCTGCACCATCGACGGTCACAGAGCATTCACAACTGCGATCGTTTTAAACGTGCTCACGTTTCACATGCAACCGCTTGTCGTATTTACTGTCGCACATGCGACCGCTTCAATTTACTCACGTCGCACATGTGACCATATATATTCTCGTCGCATATGCGGCATTTTCATTGTACGTACGTCGCACGTGCGACAGTCTCGGTTATAACTTTTTTTTTTTTTTTGCAACTCCGTCATTCTCACTCACGTCGCGCATGCCTGCACGATGGCGCGCAGCTCCTCGAGCGCCGCCGATGCCTGTCTCTCCTTCATCTCCTTACTCTCCCTGCCGCTGCTGCTCGTGCTCATGCTGCTGCCCTGGTGTTGCAACCCCGCCATGGCCATAACTGAAAGGCCGAAACGACAACTCTGTCACAAAAATACGTTTTTTCTAGTTCCTAGGCCGATAGAGCACATGGACTTGGAATAGCACGAAAACTGTCACTGAAGCAACGAAAGACAAGCTTTGCGTGGGTGCCCCTTTCACTCGCAGCTTCGCGCCGCGCAGGCCGTTGGTTTGCGGGAATTTGCGGGAAACATAACACTTCAATAGGATTCTGATTCTCATATAGCTATAAACTACTACATGCATATTTTCAGAAGGGTTACACTTTCGGAAATTACGTATTGTGAAAGCGCAGCAGCTTGTACACAGCATAAGTTGTTGAAGTAAGTACAGCGGAATGATGACTAACAGCAATGAAAGAGTACAAGTACTACCCTAATGGGTTGCACCCTCTATAGTTTACTCCAGTACAGTCTAGATAACAAACATAGGTAAATAATTTGACACACCCCCATAGGCGAAATGGGGGACAACAAGAACAAGCGGTCATAAGACTAGTCAAGAGAAGCAGCAAAACAAAGCTCAGGGTGTGTTAAGTTGTAATGTGTTATATGTTGGTAGGCTGTAGTGGGGTAGCCAATATAGGGTACAACCCCAACTAGGGTTAGCTACTTGTACCCAACTGTTTCTTTCAATGCACCATTCTCACGCTAGTATTCTGATATGGTATTCAGAGCAGGTGGTCCCTAGGACCATCCGATCGTTTTTTTTAGGGCCCACCACCGCACGCTGCGGTTACCGCGTTACCCCCGCGCCCTACCCTCGTAGCGCCCTCGTTGCGCCCTAGCGCCCTCGTAGCGCCCTTGTAGCGCCCTCGTGCGCCCTGCCGACCGGCGTCCTGCCAGCCCAGAGCCCCGCGCTGCTCGTCGCTCGGCTCTGCAGCCCCGCGCGCCGCCCGCTCTGCCCCGCGCAGCCCGTCGAGCTGCCTTGCAGCCCCGCGCGCCGCCCGCTTTGCCCCACGCCGTCCGTCGCGCTGCCCGCCCGCCCGCCGCGCTGCCCGCTTGCGGAGTCGCCCGCCTGTCGCGCTGCCCGCCTGCAGCGCCACCTGCCTGCCGCGCTGCCCGCTTGCAGAGCCGCCCGTCCGCCGCGCTGCCCGCTTGCAGCGCCGCCTGCTGCTCCCTGCCCGTGCGCAATTGCCCGCCCCTGCTGTGGTAGCTTGCGTTGCTCTGCCGTACTGTCGCTATGGCTTCCATCCGCGTGCTTTCGTTCGATGCTGAGGGCCGCCCTGTGCAGTTCACCACTTGGCTAGATGACCTGCAGCTGTTCCTCCTGAGCGATAGCAAGGAGCATGTGTCGCTCTATAATTACGCGTCTAATGCTGCGCCTGCCCCTCCTGCCACAGCAGAGCTTAGTGTTCGTTCCCACTGGCAGACTCGTGACGCAGCTGCTCGCCTAGCCATTCGCAGTCACCTGCCGTTAGCTGAGCTCGAGCATTTTGGCGACTGCAAAACCGCTAAGGCCCTGTACGACGCTGTCGTTGCCCGCTATTCCTCACCTGCCACAGCCGAGCTTAGCCGCCTTATGCTGCCTTACCTGTTCCCTGAGCTGTCCACCTTTGCTACAGTCGCCGATCTTATCACCCACCTTCGCACTAGTGACGCTCGCCTGCGTGCCGCCCTTCCCACCGATTTCTGCGCTAAGAACCCCCTCCACTGTACTGGACACTCCACTTCATAGTCACCCGTCTCCCTGACACCCTTAGCTCAGTGCGCGACTATTTCCTTGCTCGCTGTCCCACTGAGCTCACTGTCGCCCTCCTAGAGGAGAAACTGCTAGCAGCCGAGAAGAGCATTGTAGCTGTAGGTGCTGCTCGTGGCGCTCCTCGCACCCCCATCTTTGAGGGGTGTTCTCCCTCTCCCCTCGCTCCCTCCTACGCTACTGCTGCTGCTGTTGACTTCCTTGGTGCTGAGTCTGCTGGCGCTGCTTCTGCTCCTGGTGGGAGGCGCCGCACCGGCAAGGGGGGCAAGGGTGGCGGGGGTGGCGCTGGGGGGGGAGGAGGTGGGGGAGGTGGGGGGGGAGGCGGTGCTGGAGGGAGCGGTGGCGGGAGTGCTGGTGGGAGTGGGGTCGGCAGCGGAGGCGGGGGCGGCGGAGGGAGCGGTGGCGGCAGTGGCGGCGGCGGCGGTGGCGGCGGTGGCGGCGGCGGCGGTGGCGGTGGCGGCGGTGGCGGTCGGAGCGGAGGTAGTGGTGGCGGCGGAGGTCGGAGTGGAGGCACTGGCTCGGGCCAGAGCTCCCACCAGCAGCAGCGTCCCCAGACGACCCAGCAGCTTCGTGAGTGGCTTGCTCAGCGTGGGACGTCGGGGGGCAGTGGCCGCTGTTCCTATGTCATTCGCACAGGTGACCGCAAGGGACAGACGTGTGGGAGGTTCCACACCCCGTACCGCTGCTTCTCCCACCTTGACGACGCTTGGCGTGAGGAGATCGGCGAGGATGTTGAGCGCCCCCGCTGGGCGGAGCTGATGAGGGCTGGTGTTGATATCTTTGCTCTTGACTATGATGCTATTATTGCTGCCATGTATGCATTGACTGTTAGTGCCGAGGGAGACTGTTACTTGTGTGTGCCGCCTGACCTAGGTATAGAGCCCGCTGCCCTAGGTACTAGTGAGTCTGCTCTCTCTGGTACGGTCCCCTCTGTGGCTGCTCCCTCCAGTACTGTCCCTGCTGCTTGTGAGTCTGCTCTCTCAGGTACTGCACCGGCTGAGGCCTGTCACACCTTCACCCTTGACTCAGGTGCTTCCCGCTGTTTCTTTCGTGACAGTACTGAGCTCACACCGCTTCCTGCACCGGTCCCAGTCTCCTTGGCTGACCCCTCGGGGGGCCCAGTCCTTGCACGGTCCACCACTGTGCTCCCGTGTCCGGCGGTTCCGTCTGGCTCGTTGTCGGGTTTCCACCTCCCCTCGTTCTCGACGAACCTGGTGAGCAACGCTGTCATCCAGGATCAGTGGGTTGACACCTTTACCCCTGGAGGACAGCGTGTGGCGATCCTCACGTGCTCCAGGACCGGCCGTCACCTGGCTACGTTTACCCGTCAGCCGGGGTCGAGTCTCTACACACTGACCACTGCGTCTCCTCAGGTCGCTGCTGTCGGTCAGGTGTCTGCGTCAGGTCTGGTAGCCCACGCCTGTGAGTGTCGTTCCCTGTCGCACCAGACTCTTCTCTGGCACCACCGCCTGGGTCACCCCTCCTTGCCACGCCTCCGTGGCATGCAGTGTCGCCACCTTGTGTCTGGTCTTCCCAGGTCCCTCCCTCCCCTCCCTGCCTCGCCTGCGCCGCCTTGCCTTCCTTGCGTCGAGGGGCGGCAGCGCGCCGCCCCTCACTCCTCCTCGTTCCCCCCGACAGAGGCTCCTCTGCAGACCCTCCACCTGGACGTGTGGGGCCCAGCCCGCGTTCGTGGCCAGGGCGGTGAGCGGTACTTTTTGCTGGTTGTCGACGACTACTCGCGCTACACCACGGTCTTCCCCTTGCGCACCAAGGGTGAGGTCCCTGCTGTTCTGATCCCTTGGATCCGCACAGTTCGTCTCCAGCTCCGCCGCCGTTTCCGGACAGATCTTCCTGTCCTGCGTCTGCACTCTGACAGAGGTGGTGAGTTTTCCTCCGACCTCTTGAGGACCTTCTGTCAGGCGGAGGGCATCGAGCAGACCTTCACGCTTCTGGACTCCCCACAGCAGAATGGGGTTGCTGAGCGCCGCATTGGCCTGGTCATGGAGGTCGCTCGTACCTCCTTGGTCCATGCGGCGGCTCCCCATTTTCTGTGGCCGTTTGCTGTCCGGTACGCCGCGCATCAGCTCAACCTCTGGCCCCGTGTCTCCTTGCTGGAGACCTCGCCCACACTGCGTTGGACGGGGGAGGTTGGCGATGCGTCGCGCTTCCGGGTGTGGGGTGCTCGTGCCCTTGTCCGCGATACGTCCGCGGACAAGCTCTCCTCCCGCACGCTTCCCTGTGTCTTCCTTGGCTTTGTCCCTGACGCGCCTGGCTGGCAGTTTTACCACCCCACCTCGCGCCGGGTCTTCGCCTCTCAGGACGTCACCTTTGACGAGTCGGTCCCTTTTTACCGTCTCTTCCCCTACCGCACTGCCCCCCTCCCTCCCCCGCCGCTTTTCCTCGCTCCTGGTCCCCCTCCGGTAGACCCCCTTCCCCCTCAGGGTCCTGCTCCTTCAGGTGTCTCTCAGGTAGACCCTCCTCCCGTTGCTGAGCCTGTCGAGGTCACAGGTGACTCAGGTGCTGGTGCGGGTGGTGCTGAGTCTGGGGGTGCTGGGCCTGGGGGTGCTGGGGCTGCGGGTGCTGGGACTGAGGGTGCTGGAGCTGAGGGTACGGTGCCTGAGCGTGCGGAGCCTAGGGGTGCTGAGCCTGGGGGTACTGCGTCTGGGGGTGCTGAGCCTGGGGGTACGGAGCCTGGGGGTGCTGAGCCTGCGGGTGCTGAGTCTGGGAGTGCTGGGCCTGGGTGTACTGAGCCTGGGGGTGCCGAGTCTGGGGGTGCTGAGC